ATATATATTGTTATGAGAATATCTCTAACGATGAGTTTCATATTACATTGAGAGTACTTTTGGTATTTAGTGACAACATACAAATTAAGCATATGAATCATACACCTATACTCATGCTTTGATGCTTATTTACTACCATATCACCTTGTTCTGGTGCTGCCATGACATGCAAATTGACAAAAGAAGCCCACACAATGGCTCATGCAAAGTCCAAGTAGACACACCATCATAGGCCAGATCAGCACACACACACCAATGCCACATCAGCATGTGTGATGTCAATAAAAATTCAACGTGCCGCATATGGCTTTCATCAATGCACATACATAAATGAGTTGAGAACACATGTAGCTTTGAGGCCCAAACACAGTACAAACTAACCATAAGCAAACAGATTCGTAGAAGAGTACAATGCTGATGTAGCCATGTGGCCAAGAAAAAAGGAGACAATTAATCATGTATCCTTACAAAGATTGGAAAAGCCTTTGAAAAGAATCAGATAGTACTTTTGAAATTAGATCCAATTACAGTAGATTATACAATATGAAATAAATTTCTTCCTCTTTAACTGTTGTTGGCAAATGCTGAACCCAGTTCAGTTTCTTCAGATGCTGGGCAAGGTATATGATAATACATCAGCAAAAGTTCACTAAATTTAGCAATGTACAATCTGAGTTGCAGTTACCTACACCAGGGGATGAATCCAACAGACAAAATCTGAAGGAATGCACATTCCCAGTGATCTGCAAAAGCGACTCAGGTAATTTGCCGAAACTCAGACCAGGCAATTAAACATTCACCCATGCCTTCGTCAATTTCGTGTGAGGTCATTTAGTTTGATGAAACGGATGAGCTTGATGGCCGTGGGTGCCCTCTGCTGTACTTTGGTGGGTTAGTTCTAGCAACATCAACGACTATCATCCAGCCATTGATTATCTGCAGACATCAAAGACAGTGTAAGTAATCTTCTGAATCGATGCTTGGTTTTGCTTAAGAGACGATGAACTCTGGTTACCTTGCCATTCATCTCTTTCAGGGCTGCACTTGCAGCTTCTTCAGTTGTATACTCAATAAAGGCATAACCTTTTGACCTTTTAGATATTTTGTCCATTATAATTTTAACTGTTGTGATACAGAACAGAGTGCCAGTAAGCGGATAAAAGACAATAAATAGAAAACAAAAAACTGCACGTACCTTCAACCAACTCACCAAAACCTTCAAATGCTGCACGCAATGTTTTCTCAGACGTATAGAAAGATAGTCCTGCAAACAAGATAGTAAAAATTGGCAACCAATGAAGTACCTTCTTAATCATGAGATGAAACATCAGAAAATTCAGGATAATTTGTATAGCCGCTATAAGTCCCACCCAAATATCTTTATCACAAAAGGCCGATTATTTGGAGCCAAACTAAGGATCTCTAATGGACCATCTAAGACCACCTAGGAGTAGGCACACCCCATATAGCATGCAGAAAAGTCAGAAATGTGGAGATAAAGAAGCTCAGTCTATAAATTCTATCATTCCATTCTTATCAGATTCAGTTCATACATAGGTGGACAAAATGACACCAAGTATTTTACCTGGTCTGCATGCAACAAAAATATCTAACTATTCCAATCTAATATTCGACAACTCATTCGAGTGAAACAACCAGCCATGAAAGATGGTATTACTTTTCTATGGTTCAATCATTGTCTAAGAAATCTGTGTCACTTAAAAGTATGATTTATATCACAAGGAATGATTTCTCCTTGTTGGAGCAACTAATTATCATATCTCACTTATAACATGCTATCATGGTGTGAATAGATGATAAAATTTCTATTCTCTGTATAATCCAAAAATATGTATACTGGAAGTAAATTGCTATCCAAGTCTTTTTTCCTTTGATTTGAGAACATATCTCAACTAAAGATTTGATAGAATCATCAGGATCAACCATCAAAAACCTGATAATACCCAAGTCTAGACAAGTCAAATTTAAGAGAGGGAACATCATAAAACTTGAAAAACTATTTGGCACGGACAAAGACTCAATTGCTTCCAATTAAGTTCATGCATCCAAGGAGCAACATCTGATCAAACTTTTCATATAAAATGTTCATGTCCCAGCTTCCTTTTGTTCTTGCAATGCGAGAGAAGTTTAACTGAACCTTTGCATGCTTTAGCTTAAAAGAATTATATCATCTTACCAGTCACAAAAAGTCTTTTGGTTCTGATTTTCTGCACTTCATTTGTTTCTGATAAATCAGGATCATTACCTGCAATTATTTAATGAGTCAAAAGATATATGATCATCTATGCACATGTGCAAACATATATATCCAAACTTAAGCTACTCAACGTCAACTAAAAGTTCTGAATCCTCCAAGCTTGACAAGTGATATTGTCCACAATAAAGCTTAACGACAAAAAAATATCCATATAACCAAGCCTTGACATTAGGGCTTCTTGCTATTTCATGTCCACCAGAAGTTGGGCATCATAAGATAATCTACCACTTTGATCATTGTCACATATTTATGACACGTGATGGTTGATAGCAAGGTCTTGAGATCAAACATCATCTTCACTACTTATATTTTGCCAAAAACAAAAAAAGAACAGTTATGAGTTATGACATATCACCCACAATGAATCCAAAAGAATCAACAAACTATTTTCTTAAGGAACATTTGTGAAATTCAAAATAAAAAATAACAAAAATTTGGCAGTGTGAATGTTAGTGGACAAAAAGAGAAACACGTTAAAGTTTAACCAAGGAGGATAACCAACAATCAGAACAAACAATTAAACACATTAAGCAAAAGATACAGTTGATCATCTTCCAAACATTACCAACATCTGTAAGTTGGTATTTAGAAGTTTAACTAGTCTTTTCTCACAACTTTCTGTAGAGCAGTCAACTTCCATTTTGAAGCATCACTTATGACGACATCTAAGTGAAAAGTCATGCTAACTCAACCATAAAAAACATGACTGTATTTACTTGACACCACCAAACAGACTAGGATATCTCAATATCAGGACAAAGAAATATGCTGACATCTATTCGCTATAAGCGAATTCTTTTAAAGCACTAGCATATACCACAGTATGTGATGGAAACCTGACTTGAGACCTTTAACAAAGAGTTCTTTGGAAAACATTTTAAACAGTTGTATCTAAAAATTTGGTAACGGATTTTTGAAAACCAATCTACCTATTCTTTTCTTCTAAAATTTACTCCTTTCATTCAAGTATTACGTAACATGTTTACTTAGGACTTGAACTCCTGACTTCTTGATTGCACGCACTGCACTTTAACAACAGTGGATGTATCCACGGTGACAAAAAAGCATTCTACCTGTTACATCTAAAGTAGTAGTAACATATTAAGAGAAACTAATTAGCTAAGTTTCTTTGCAAGATCTTCCAAATCTAATATCAATAAGTGGCAATGATTTTCCTAATTGCTAATAGTGCTAGGCAATAGTAATGGAATGATGTGAAGTATAACAGTAGGAAAAAAATGAATGGATAAGGAGACAAGAGGGTGCCTAAGCTAAGATCCTTCCTTAGTTTTGTTAACTATTGTCGGTGCTTCACCTTAGTATACTCAAAGCACACAACTCCATTGATAGAGTTGTCGAAGAAGAAGCATCCTTGGTGATGGTTAGAAAAATGTGAAGCAGCATTCCAAGACCTAAAGGCTGTTGTATTAGTGGAACCAGTGCTCAAACTACCAAACTACTAGACTATGGGAAGTCTTTCAAAGTCCACATGGATGCTTCAAACTTTACTATCAAAGGAGTTCCTATTGAAGAAGATCACACGGTGGCCTACGAGAGTCGCAAGCTTAATAAGACCAGCGGTAATATCCCGTGCACAAGAAGATAACAATAGTGGTAAACTATCTATGAGCGTGGAGGTGCTACCTTCTCATAATGTGATTTGTGCCAAGGACGGACAATATCATGCTAAATTACTTTTAGATTCAGAAAAAGCCCTCCCTAAAGCAAGTAAGATGGAATTGACTTCTTGACTGAATTTGACATAGTAATGGAGTACAAGCCTAGAAGAAAAAAACGTCATGATTGATGCCTCAAGCAGGAAGGTGGAGTTGATGAATGTAGTGCAACTGGAAGACAGAGGTTAAGTAAGGGCAAGGGACGATGATTTTTGGTCCAAGAGGGGCTTGTCTACACCAAAGGGAATAGAGTTTACATTCTACGAGCATATAATTTACGGTGTGAACTCTTTAGAGAGCAAGGTAGGCGATACCGAATGATACCGCCTGGTACAGGCGGTACGTACCAGTCCGACGGCATACCGGTACACGGACCGCTCGCTACCGGGCGAAACGAAAAATAATAATAAAATTATATATATATATATATATATTTATATATAAATATTTTAGAAAAAAGGCGACGTTCGGTGACGTCGCCTTTTTCAACGACGTCGCCGAGGCACTTATTTCGGATTATATATATATATATATATATATAAACGAGGTGACGTCGTCGAAGCGATGTTGCCTCGCTTGGGAGAAGAGAGAGGCGACGTCGCTTCGACGACATCGCCGAGTTATATATATATATATGTATATATATATATATATATATATATATATGTGTATATATATATATATATGTGTATATATATATATATGTATATATATAATATTATATATATATATATACCGCTCGGTGTACCGTTTCGTACCGTACCGAGCAAACGTAGAAACGCCGGTACGATACGGTATTGCGAACCTTGTTAGGGAGTGCAATGATTTCCTTTGGGTGGAGCATCTGAGCATTCACATAACTCTAGCACTCATGGAGAAGGTCTTTTATTAGCTAAAGATGAAGATTGATGTGGAAGAATATGCTCGGATGTGCGACGTGCCTCACATGCCAACAAGACATGATAGAATAGAAGCTGATGGGTCTTTTGGAGCCCTTGCCTGTACCATAAAGGCCACGAGAGAGCAAGAATCTTTATATCAAGCTTGCTGACAGTAGGGAGATTTGGGTCAATACTTGTAGTGGTTAATTGGCTTTCGAAGTATGCAAAATTTATCGTTGTTCCCCTTACGCTCAATGGAGGAGGCAATCAAGTTGATGATGAAAAATATGATGAAGTATTGAGAGTTTCATACAATATTATTAGTAATTGAGATGCATGGTTCTTGGAATGGTTTTGGGCAGAGCTGTTCAAATTGTTGGGATATAGTTTATACTTCTCCGTTCTTGGGATGGTTTTGGACAGAGCTATTCAAATTGTTGGGATCTAAGTTATACTTCTCCATGAACCTCCACCCCCAAATGAATGACCAAACTGCATGAATAAACTCGCTCTTGGAGCAATACCTTCGGCATAACCCAATCTAAGTATGCAAACTGCATGAATAAACTCTAACCAATAAGATTAGATGAAGCTTTTGGACATAACCCAATTCTACTACAATTTACAACGGAGTTTTGCATCCAACAAGAGCCCTTTTGAAATCATTACCATATAGCAACCATCGACTCCTTATAATTTATCAATCGGTTATACTGGGAGTAGCCTATTAGCATATCACTTTGCAAAGGAATAACACTAAAATATTGATATTGCACGAGTATACTTGAAGAAGGCAACAAAAAAATGAAGTGAGCAAATTTTAGAAGGTGACCACAGGAGTTCACGATCGACAACTTAGTGTTGGTGAAACTCCGTTCGACATCTCTCTGTCTTCATGTAGAAAAATCACAAGAGACTAGTATGCAAATATGAAGGGACCTTCCCAATGTTTCATTGGTAGGGTAAGCAACATCTCCTATAAGTTGTAGCTTTCGGTGTAACTTAAAATTCATAATGTATTCCATACGAGCAACTTGAAAGCCTACCACTTAGATTCGCAAGTCGCTTCTAGAAATGTTTCAACTCGACCTCCCCCCACCCAAGCATGTTATGAAAAACGAGTTAAGCTATTCTAGCATATCACAAGACAAAGCTAATAGATATTTGGAAGTGACCAAAACTCTCCTAAACATAAGTTAGTTGGGAGCTAGGAGACGCCTTACAACATGAAGAAGCAATCGTCAATGTTTACCAACAAGCGTTGATGAGAGCGTCGACAAACTAAGTGGGGGAGAATGTCACGAACGACCATCGCGTGCTTGCAACACCTTCGTCAACAAACCATTTGTCACTTATGTTGGCTTATACAGTCGTTTGATAGTTTGTTTTCCCTAGTTTTTGCATGTTTTTTCTTATTTTTTGTAAGCCTAGGTAGTTCGCAAGGCTGCACAACGGCCGCTTACCGAACTTAGCAAAGCTGGGCCAAAACTGCCCTATTGTCACGTGCCACGAGATGATTTCTCAAGCTTACAATGTTGTGTAAAACGTCAGCCATCTCAACTTCTTGGAACCCTTGGGTGACATAGGGTTAGATGGGGCTTTGAGTAGTGTTGGTCCCTGTTTAGATTCATAAGTTTGTATGCAAAGTATGTGTAGACTTGCCTAACACCTCGACACTTGATTGAGGAGTCGTTTGTCAACTTAAAACTATCTTTTCCCTTTCAAAGTCCTTGTTTTCCTTTTCTCTTTAAGTGTTTGTGTATTGCTTGCTTGCTACGCCTTTCGGTGAGATGTCAAGACTTGTCCGTCGCTTATTTTCTTAAATCTAATCAATATTCTCTTTTGCAGGTCCTTTGAGACCTCTACGAGGTTGCGTCTAAGTTAACCCTTTGCAAACAAATATCGCAAGGGTGCCTCACGACCGACTTAACCAATTTCAACCATGTCAGTGACACTCGGCCGCAAGTTTTCCTGCTTGTTACAATAAATGTGAAGCAACGGTTGTTGTTTCACCCGATTTGGCTCGTAGCCACCAGTCATTATCGGTCCCAGCCTGAACTGAGATGTGGATTGCGCCCATTTTAGGCGGTAGCCTATTAAAAAAAGAAAAGAAAACCTATATAACTCATCCATTGCTGATTTAGGGCTCATGTTCACAAGCCCTCTTTGTCGTATACATGAAGCTCGTGAGTCACCTGCCACTTATGCCACCACCCGTCGCTCGCCATGCTATCATGGACGGCTACCTCCTCTTCTTCCTCCTTTCTCCTCTTCTTCTTCTTCCTCCTAGGTACATATCGGCGTATCAAGTGTCACACAACTCCACTAGATTGAAGATTAGAGACTTATTTTATGTTGGTTAAAGATGATTACATATATAGGTTAAGACATATTTTATCATTTAAGTATGCTTTTGTGTCGATTCAATTGCAAACATTGATAATCTTTTGTCATTTAAGCATACCTTCTTTGATGTTGTTGTTTTGCCATTTAAAAATATCTTGATTATTCTTATTTCGGCTAGTCTTGTTTATCTCCATAAATAATGATCAATTAGTGTTTATCTAAACAACATGGTGGAGAGTATATTTTTGAATGTGGAATACCTAATACTTTTAAAAGGACACTTAGACTTGGCTATGAGGAAGAGAATTAGGAAGGAGACCAAAATCAGTATGTACCTACTAATTTTTGACACCCTCTATATTGGAATGTGCCATAACTTTCTTCATCCAACATCCTCCAAACTCTGCAAAAATAAGTTTATAAACTTCACATCCACTAAAAATAAGTGTGACAAGTAGGAATGGTTGAGATTCTGCACGCAGGGATATTTGGGAAAAGACCACCATGTGCATTAAAGATATTGCATAATTTCCTAGAGAAAGCTAGGATATGGGCTGGGACAGCTTGAAGTGAAAAGTAGCAGGCTCTAGAATGAGCTTCAGTATTCAAGACAAATGGAAGAGACACATTATCTGTTTCTCAGATCACTAGGCGTCAAGAAAATGTCAAATCCCACTTGCACTTTACAGGATTGTCGTGCTTAAACTTCTATTGACCAAACAAAGAAATCAACTTCTGTTGAGAAAGCAATCATGAAAGGTTGGCACATGCAAAACTACATATCTATACCTCTATTTCACTTCAATTACACAATGCATAACATATGGCACAAGAATTATACATCAACATCAAATCAACACATGTGGTGCAAAATGTCAGCAGTAGGCATTCACATAGCCATTCAAAATAATAGGAGGGAAGTAAAAGTGAATTGCAAATTGCAAGAAAGAAGCAAAGATATTCAACCAAAAAAAACATATTTACAAAGCATCATGAGAATTACATGACTTGAAAGTATGACAAACCATTATAGTTTTTGTTCTCTGACTCAAAATTCATATCAGGCTGAACCGACAACACCCCAGGAACATCTGCCATGCAATTTAGAACATCTTAGACCAATTGAATATAGATGCATTGGTGCAATGATATATTTCACATCTATGAAATACAAATATTTACCAGCTAGTTCTCGTGCGTATTCCTCGTCAATATGGCAACAAAACCCAAAGTCCTTTTCCCATGAGATATGATATATGCAGACTTGTGCATCCTTCTCACTGCAATATCTTTTAATGAGTATCAAAGAGAAAAATACAAGGAAGAGATAGGAAAATATGAAAAGAGAACAACTTACTTTCCCAAAACCTTTGTTAGGGTTTGGGCATAGTAGTCCACCATTTGTGCCTTGGTGACAACTTCTACACCAGGTTTCTCGATCCGGACTAGCCAATGCTCATTTTTTCCAATGGATGAAGGAAATATCCGAGTATGGCCATCAGTTTTCATTTGATCAGCTGGTAACTGGTCCAAGTAGCTATAATTTTTCTTACCATATCCTTCATTTGTGTCAGGTCTAACGGACAAAACCCCTGGCATACCTGTATATCACATCATGTCAATGCTAAAATATCAGAGATAATATTAATAGATAAAATATTATGGAAACAAATTAAAATAAACATTATAATAGAGATTAAATGACAGTAGGTCTTCATTTCAACCATACAAGATCCAAATGGCGACAACAATATCAAACACCTATCTTGTGAAAAGCCTGAAATTTAGTTTCATCTTCTTTGACATAGAGCATTATGATGTCTAACTTACTAAATCAGAGATCCTCCTCTTCTCAATTATGTAGTATTAAGATCAGAAAGGGATAAAATTCTAGTACATGACCAAGGAAAAGTTCTCCATTTAAAGTTTAATCGGTGAAGAATTAAACATATCCGTAAATTGTAAATCAGTCAGCAAGACACCTAAGGAAAAGATCTCAGATGCATTTTCACTTAAAAAATATGCTTTTTTTCCCAAGAAAAACTAGAAAAGTTTATTACTTCAAAAGACGAGTACAACCATTGTCTCTAGCATCCGAGGTAATCAAAACAGATAACTTGGAAGGCCATTCCTCCCTCCAAAACATATCTACCCTATCGACTCTAGCAAAGTTTGCTAACCAATTAGCCGAGTGGTTTCCTTCCCGAAACACATGAACAACTTGAAATTTGTCAAATAAAGCTAAGCAGTCCAAAATGTTCCCGATTACATTCTTGAAGAACCATGGTAGTGTAGCCCTATTGTTAATGAACTAAACCAAAGTCACTGGATCGAGCTCCAAAATAATTCTCCCCACTCTCTTCGTGCAAGCAGCTAATATTCCTCCCTTGAAACGTTGCTTCATTTTATGATATCAATGTCCACCCTGGGATTTGAAGAATATGCTCTTTACTACAACAATTCAAGCTTTGAACGGAGATGAGCCACCTTTAAAAAAGTTAACGTTTGGCAGCAGCTTGCAGAAGGCTGATAAATTGAGGTATAAGAATGATCACAACCTCACAAATTAATAGACAAAAATAGAATATAAAGACACACATGATGGGAAAAGAAAGAGGGAAAAGACTTAGAAAACTCACGGGCAAGTTCACGAGATGACTCCTCGTCGATGTCGCAGCAGAAACCATATTGGCTTCGCCAAGAAGCGTCATAAATGCACATCTGAGCCTCTTTCTCGCTGCTTAGAACCCCCAAATTTAAGCACACCCAAACAAGAGGAAGAATCCCCCTCAAGAAAAAGAAATGCAAGACAGAAACAAAGGCCACGGCTACCTTCCCAAAACGCTCGCGAGGGTTTCGACGTAGTAATCGATGACCTCTGGTTTGGAGGAGCCGCCGCCCGGGGGCCTCTCCATCACCACCATCCACCGCGTACGAGGAGTGGAAGACCAAAGGGAGCCCGACGCCGTCGCCTCCGCCTGGGAGGGGAACGAGGCGCGCACGGAGATGGCGGTGCGAACGACAACGGCGCGGCGAGCGGCGAGCTTGTTGGAGAAGCTGACAGCGAGCTTGGTGGCGACGAGGACGGGGTTCGGCGGTAAGAGAGCGAGAGCGGAGCTGGTGGTGGTGGCGGCGGCGACGGACCCGCCGGCCGGGAGAGAGAGGAGGTCCATGCCGGCGGCTGGATCCTCCCACCGCGGGGCAAAGAGCTGCGGATAACAAAATGGCTATCGATTATGTTATCTAATTTATTTTATTTGATAAAAAAAAGAAACAATAGAAAATATTTTTTTTATTATTAATAATTCTAATAATCAATCCCCAAATGAATAAATGAATCAATTTAGTAAAAAAATAAATAATACTGTTTAGAGTTAGACATTTTTTTTTCCTTCTTTTTTTTGCTTCAAAAATACCATTTTTCTCCCAAAACTGTAATTGTAATTTATTTTTCCTCATCTTTCTTTCCTTCCCTTGGAATTGTGATTGTAATCTTCTCTCAAATAAATTGTAGCATTTTGTGTTCTTTCAAATAGCCATATCTTATGCGCCTCATCAAATTGGGCCGCGTAATAATTAGGCCGGTCCATCAACCCGCTTTGGTTTGCCAAATTTGATGGCTCTCCTTATCCACCCGCACCAGCAAACAACTGCGACGGCGCCTCGTCTCCCGACGAGAGCAGAACCAAGCAAAGGAGGGGAGAGGAGGAAGATGCAGTCTCTGAGTTTTCTCACCGCCCAACCCATCCTCCCCATCCCACAGCGCCGTCGCCTCGCTTCGCCCAAACCTTTGGTCTTCTTCTCCTCCTTCTCTTCCTCCTCAACCACCTGCATCATTTCTCTGTCTCAGGGCAACCCAAAGTGCCAAAACGCCAGCGCCCGCTCGCAATTGAAGAGGCTCACGCCATTGGCCTCCACCGGGGCGGGCGCGGTCCTCGATGACTCGTCGGACGCCAGCCGAGTCGAAGAGGCCGAACAAGCGGAAGAGAAGCAGGTAAGCGAACCACCTTGTTTCTGTAGGTGCCCTATTTTTTTTTTTTCTGTCTGATCCTGTCCTGTGATGGGATTTGGTGTGCGCAGAAGTTGGGGATGGTGGTGAAGCCGCCGGAGAACCCGAGGCTGGTGCTGCGGTTCATGTGGATGGAGAAGAACATCGGGCTGGCGCTGGACCAGGTGATCCCGGGCCACGGCGCCATCCCGCTGAGCCCCTACTACTTCTGGCCGCGCAAGGACGCGTGGGAGGAGCTCAAGTCCAAGATCGAGGCCAAGCCATGGATCTCGCAGAAGCGCATGATCATTCTCCTCAACCAGGCCACCGACATCATCAACCTCTGGCAGCAAAGCGGCGGTAACCTGTAGACGCCCTCTGTCTCTTCACTTGGAATTTTGGTTGTCATGCCCTCTTCTTGCTAGAAGATAAATAACCTGCATTGCTTTTTGTTCTAAATGTGCCTCTCTTTCATTGTTATAGAGTACATTGGAGAAAAATTAAAATACATTTCAATTCAGATATCCAGACAAATAATAATATATGAGAAAAATTAAGAGCCAAAGGTGTGAATGACATTAGCAGCCTAAGAACTCAAATCAGGATTGTTAAAAAGATAGATAAAAATATATTTTTAGAATAATAACATAAAATTTTGAGTTTATTTTCGATAATCGAGTACCAACAAAAGCTCGGTGTAATCTGCACACTGAATCCACTCAACATGAGCCAAAATATTCGTCGGAAGTTCACTGAGAAGATTATCGGAAGTTCGTCGAAAGAACAATTGATATATCGGACAGAGATTGCCTATTTAAATGTCTTAATTATTATAGTTAAATCATAAGTTGAGTTAGGATTGGAAGATAATCCCACTAACTTAGTTATGGGATAACTAGGCTCTTAACAGGACAAAATTGGACCAGTTAAACAGTTCATTCAGCACCTAAAGTCACGGCCGATGGTGGCACCACCTGGGACTCAATCTCCCAAGTGCTCTAGGCAATGGTACTGCCCAGATTGGGTAGTGGTACCATTGACAGTTAATGCTGTGGTGAGTCAATTTCTTTAGCCCCCTCTTTTATAGTGACAAACAACAGGTAATATGAGGAAGGATAGAGCAGCTTGGAAACCCAACAAAAGAAGAATGTGTCATACAAAATGTGAAGTTATAACCTTTTCCTTAGTTCAGCTATGAAAATGCATGTTGAAGTTGCTGCCCTCCACTGAGGTACAAGAGAAACTTGAGCTTGATCCATAAATTTTCCATTAGATTTCTTTTTTATTACAGACTGGATGGGAGCTGCTGGGTTCCTGACTTTGGAATTGATCTCTTTTATGACATTCTATGAGATGACATCTTTTAGCATCTGTTACTTGTGTACCTTATGCCAACATGATTTGTAAGAACTTTAGATTGAAACCAATCAATAAAATGGGGGTTGCAATAGTTTCATTAAATTATATCACCAAAAAGAGCTGTTGTGCCACACACCCATTTGAAATAATGTTTAGAATATATCTATGTTAGGTTGAACTTAAAAAAAAGTTATGCTTGAGGTGAGGTGAGGTGATAGCAAGGAATTCTGAGGTGATGATATATATGGATTTGAAGGATATTATAAAACTTCTTTACATGATATACAACTCTGTGCAATAAAAGAATGACTGACAAAATTAAACAAGGATGATAATAATATTGATGTAGATAATTAATCACTTGAAATAGAGCAATTGTGGCAGCTCATTTGGATGATCAACTTGCAATTGTGCAAATCATGTCTTTATAAACTCATGCCAAACAATTAATCTTTTTGTGACTCATGCCAAGCAATCATGTCTTTATAACGAGGCATCATTGTGTTGTATTCCACAATTAATCTTTTTATTTGTGAACGATAATAAAAGGGATTACACAATAAATAATAATAAGACTTGTTATGATGATTTAGCTAGTGATAATCAATATTTTTCTTTTTCTCAGACTGGAGTTGTTGTCTTTTTGACCATTTATACATCTTCCATGTTCTATGGACAGCAATGCAAGATTGTAAGCTGAGTGCAAATGTCAAATTGGTCATAATGAGAGTTAATGTCGAGGAGAATTTTTATCGTAACAAGGATAAGATTAATTAAATTAAGAGGATACTATCGATCTTAATCTTTGAATCAGCTATTCATCATATATAGTGGGAGTTAGTTAAATCAGCTGTTCATCATATATAGTGAGAGTTAGTTAAAGAGTCTTCATATTCATTCAAAAAATCTTACCATCAACTCTCTTGGGATATTTTGTATAGTGAAAATTCCATTATATATAAATGTGCATTTAATGTATTTTAAATGTGAAAATTTGTATAATGAAAAGTCTTCATATACCTTCATCATTTAGATTTAGGTTAAAATTCATTTTAACTCGTGTGATTTTTGTATGAACTACTTAAATCCTTATGATTTACTCTCGTGTCTAAAATAACTTTTATATTATAAAAAAAATATAACATATTAGTCCTTATTATTTATGTGACATGTTGATTCACAATAAACCATTAATATAATGACACATATTATTTAAGTTTAAGAAATGATTAAGATTTATTTTAGCTCTTGTGATTTTTGTCATGGATCATTTAATCCATTATGGTTTATTTGTATATAAAATAACTCCTATATTTTTAAAAATGTAGCATATAAGCCCCTTCGTCAAGTTTGAATTAATAGAAGTTAGAGTTTGCTTACGTGATATGTTGACTCATAATAAACTATTAATATAATAATAATTATAATTTAAATTTTAAAAAGGTTTAAGATCTATCTTATTGATGAAGGGGAAGTGGTAGAGGTCGTAGCGACGAACTATAATATCTCTCACTTTTGTAATTTATATAAGGATCTATTTGTAAATTAGAGGATCTATTTATAAATATAAAAATTTTAAAGATTAAACTGTTAAAGTTAAAAAATGAAAAATAGTAATTTTATCCCATCACCTCCCACATCTTTGTTTCCCACACGAGGAAATAAAGGAGAGGAGGTGAGGTGCATCGAGGAGGAGAAGGGAAGAAGCGGAGAATAAGAGAAGATGATGAAGAGGAAGAAGACAAAAAGAAGAAGAGGGAGAAACTAAAGATACAAGTATATTATATGTTGATAAATTAATAGGCTTGTTTTTAGTTAACAGATCTTTAAATGAAATTTTAGAATATGCTCTTCAAATGAAGATAGATGAAAAGAAGGACCAACAGGAAAAAAAAATTCAAAAAGTAGATCGCAAGAGAGAGATCAAAATAGTAGAGACCATGGATGATCTTATGCTAAGGCAAGGGACGAGGCCGATCAAATGAGGCTTAGAGGAGCTCTAATAAAGGTAACAAAGAAATCCATCAATGTTTTTGCTGTAAAAAAATTGAATATATTGAAAAAAAATATTGGTACAAAAATGAAAATCTAAATATTCCTCTCGGCTCTCATTGTAAAAAAAGACCATCTTAATAATGATTGTTAGAACAAAAATCAAGCAAATTATCATAAAGAAAATAATAGTAAAAGAATAAAAAATATTTTCTTTATATCATCCGATAAAGAATATTCTAAATATATTTAGTTTTTGGATAGTGGATGTAGTAATCATATAACATAAGATAAAAGTTTATTTCAAAGGCTTGATGATTCAATCAAATCTATTGTATATATGGAAAATGATAGTAAGGTTCAAGTGGAAGGAAAAGAAACAATTAATATGAATACCAAATCCAGTAAAAAAGTTATTGATGATGTGATATTTATTTATAGTTTAAACTAAAATCTCATTAGTGTAGATCAACTGATCAGAAAA